CACCCCCCCCCCCCCCCCCCCCCCCAAGGCCTGCAGGCAGCTTGGCCCTTCAGCTGGTCTATGTAGGGATGGCATGTTCTCCAGTCCATGTCCCAGATGGTGGCCACAACAGAGCTCAATGTTCTAGGTTACGACCTGCGCTGTTAGTAATGGAGCCTAAGAGTCAGAGAGCTACGGGCTCAGATCGCGCTTGGTTTTTTACCTCAACTGTTATCTAACCATGCTGTTGCCACTCAGTGTTTACATTGGTGGACTCTTTCACGATTAGATTTAGCCTGCCAAAATTATAGAATCTATTATTATACAAATAACAGCACTTCATCAATAAAAGGTCAAACTAACTTCTGTTTAATGATCAAGTAACTAAAATGGTAGATGACGGGAATTCTATAGATTGTTGAATCCTAAACAAAGACAGCATGGGGAACTATCTGAAGGCACAGTGGCCATTAACTGTTCATTGTCCACTTACAAAGTACCTGATAAAGGTCTAGAAGGAAAAACCAGAGATTCCAAAAGTAAAGTAGCAATGTGCTCCAGGGTTGGCTGGTTGGTGTGTTTGGAGGATGGGGATGGGGAGGGGAGAACAAGAACGGCACAATGACGATTAGTACAAATGAGAAGGAAGGATCAAGTGGCACATATACATGGTGGGGAGTCCACTCTAACAAGACTGGGAAAAGAAAACGCAAGACTGGGGAAAATTTTAAACGCCAAAGAGAAAAGTCTGAATTTTAACCTAGAGGTAATAGGGAGCCATTAGTGATCATTGGGAAGGGTGCGGGTTGGGGGGTGGGGTTTACAATCAGACTGGTGCTTTAGGAAAATCATTTTGATGGTGGCGTAGAGAATGGAATGCAGTGAGGAGGGAGACCAGACAAGAGGCTCCCACAAATGAAGCTGATAAGGAAGGGGCAGCTACTTGGCTGGGTGGATAGGTCTGGCCTCAGACACCTCCTAGCTGTGTGACGCTGGGGCAAGTCACTCAACCTGTTTGCCTTAATCCACTGGAGAAGGAAATGGCAAATCACTTCAGTATCTTTACCAAGAAAACTCCATGGACAGTATGGTCCATAGGGTCACTAAGAATCCAACAGGACTGAACACCAACGAAGGTGATAAAGACCTCAACTCAAGCAACAGCATTTTAAGTAGAAAGAAGGGACAGTACAAAAAAGATATCATAAAAGCAAACATTTGGAAATGAAATGGCACGTGGGACAACAGTGATGGGGTAAGGATGATGCCCCCCCCCAAGCTGCAAACCTGGGTGACTGGAGAGATTCGGGTATCTTTGTCAATAAAAGGGGAAGGACCAGAGGGAAATGGGTTTGGTTTCAAACATACTGAGTTCAAGATGCTTATGGCAGCTGAAGAGACAAGGGGCTTAGATTTATACTGTCTTCATATTTTTAAGAAACAGACTATCTTCTTCGGTCTACTGATCAGCCCCAAATCTACAAACGCCCAGCACGGTACCCAAAAAGGGTATGACTCACGAAAGACGACTCCGACAAGTCAAGTAACAAATGGGAAATAGTGCTCTCACCTATGCCTGGAAGACGAAGGAGTCCTCCTCCTCCTGGAACGTGACCTTGATCTCGAATGCCTCCGTTTTTCTTCTTTCTTATCTGGAAATAAAAGTCCCTGGGTTTACACGTATGTTGAACAGCATCATGATGCATCTTAGGAACTCCTGGGAGACAGCATCTTTACAAACAGTCATCTTCTCATTCTAAGTTCTACATCTTCCCTCTCATTGGCACTTCCAATCTCTCTCAGATATTTCTCATGTTCATGAAATAATCCTTAGAATTCAGTTTTCTGAAGCGGGATCTATTTCTCTTCAATTTAGTAATAAGCACTGAGCTCAGGGCAAGTATTACTTTATGAGACTAGCTGTTCAAAGGACAGATTCTACTACCCATCACGCTTTTGCAATGTTCACTACCTCAGAACTAAGACCATCTTTTCCTTTTACATCCTTGCCTATAGGAAGGGCTCCCTCAAAGGGCTTAAGAAAGACTTTCTATGCTCAAAGAAATCTCTCCATCTCCTTCCCATGTCTAATCCCAAATGGCTTTCACCGGCTCCCTCTCTTTAGCATCTGTGGTGGTAGAAATTTAATTCAATCCAAGAAATAGCTATGAGGCACCTAATATGTGTGAGACCATAAAAAAGTTCTTTTCAAGGAGCTCATACTCATGGGAGAGCTGGAGCTGAAGGACCGAGACTGGAATTCCAGAGACATGTTGCTTTACCCCTTCTAGGGGGTCTGTTTTATCATTAAAATGGGAGGAACCCACAAAAAAAACCTCCAAGGATCCTTCCAAACCTTTTCACTGTCCCAGCTCTCTATCTGAAAGATGGCCCTACTAACCCAAGGCGTTACCATCCGTGGGCTCTGCCAGGTGTTTTTCCTTCCAAGCTCTGCCTATATGTCAAGAGTTTTTATTGATCTTTTCACTTTTCAATAAGTTAATATATTGTAAAGACTGATTTTTCCTTGCATCATGGTCCACCAAGCAACAACAATAGTAATGACGCTTCACAGAATGTTCCCGATGATTGCTTCTCAGTAATACTGGAATCCCCAACACCTCCCCACTCCTCAGACAAAGCCAAGATTATAAACGTCTCATAAGCCTGAAGGGACAAACCCAAACATCTAATTACTACTATTCATTTCTTCACATATTAAAATATGTGCAAATCTGCAGAATCAGAATGTTCTCTGCCAGACCCTTTGACTCGCCCAGTGTCACAAGGCTATGTAAACTCAGAGGATCTTCCTGACCCCAGGACCAGCACTCGGTGCACTATGGCACCACCTAGCAGCCCCAAGCCACAAACACGCTTGTTTCAAATGCATCTAAGTGGACTCCTCTGATGACATGATTAAGAAGGAGACACACTCCCCTTTTATGTCTGTGGCATGCACACATCCACATACAACCATGCACATGTGCAGAGTCAGAACTTACCTGGCTCTATTGCAGCGGAAATCAGTGACTGCGCTTCTCTCACTCTTTTCATTGCCTCCTCTATTTCTTTACTAGAGGTATCTGATTTTAGACTTGGTGAAACAAGACCTGCAGCGACATGGTTCAACCTGAAACCAACAAGGATGTCAGTCCTAGTGTGCGGTTTAAAATACGATTTCAGACCAGATTTTCCTATTTAAAAATTCAGAGCCATGCTCTTAGATATCGACATAGAAGGCTAATCAAGAACAGAGCTGGCGCGTGCAAGACGACGACACCCAGTGAAGCCCAGGGCAGGAAGAAGCCTCACCTCCTCCAGGAACTCAAGCTCACACACCTCATTTCTCTCCTCGCTGCAACTCCCTCGGGACTTCTCTGACTGTCCATCGGGACACACCCCACCCCCCCCTTCTATCTTCCCATTTTCTTCCTTTTTTTTAAAAAAATATTTGTAAGCCCAGAGCTTTAGCACAGCGCCTGGCACGTAACAGGCACTTAATAAAACGTTTACTGACTATTGATTACTGATTGTGTAAACTGATTTGGGGGGTCCACTGAGAAATGATGAAAACTAAAAGATTTTTATGTTGGTGACAGGACCCTCAGCCATCCTGAAACCCCCTGGGAGGGAATCATGGCATCCAAGAGCCTGAACAGGAGCCTAAAAAATAAAGCTTCGAGGTGAATAACATTTGACCCCCCAATATCCTCGAGGTGTCCCAGAAGTCTTAGTGCAGACTACACAATCCCACACAGACTTCTGGGACCCCTTGATGAATGTTCCCCTCTGCAAAAAGTCCCTTATGAATACAGAGGTGCCAATTATGATGACGCTCTGAATATAAGATCTGAATATCAACCTTCCGGATCCCGACTCCCAAGGCTAGCCAGTGCCCTTCCTAAGGTCACATTGCTCCTTAGTGGGAAATATCACATGGCATCAGATACTAACCATGTTTATGAGGCTTAAAGCACCCTTTGGAAACAAGCTCTCAGCACCCATTTTACAAATGGGCCGCAGTACAATTACATAAAATCATGCAGTTACTCTCCCACAGAACTATTATGTCATGAAACCTTATGTGACATTTCACTACATGACTTTGGCCTCAGGTATTTTCCTAAATGAAAGTAAATGCCAAGCCAACTGCCAGAGCATATGCTCAGCCTTACTTGCGTTATGGGAGGCCGTGCCACTAAACTAAATGCTTCAGAGTCCACAGGGCTGGTAAGTAACTGTATGTTGTTGAAGGATAATTTGGTTACCAGGTGACTGGGTGAAACTTACGAAACCATATAAGTCACACAGGTAAAATTAGGAAATTTCTTTGGAAATGTTACAAGTTCAAGTAAAAATAAATCTAACATCCAGTTAACTTGCTACATAAATTATCCAAAAAAGAGCTGTGCTTTAAATAAAATTCACATTCCTCATCTGTAACACTTTGATTCATATTAAAGAAAACTTACTTAGGATCCACCGTGCTCATTAGCTTCAGTAATTGATCTGCTGCAAGAGACTATAAAAAGATAAAAGGGCATTTAGAAATACAACATACTATCTGATCAATAACTGTAAGAGATTCATCCCTTGGTGGCACTACCTACTTCACAATCCCATCGGAGTCAGTGGATGTGAAATGGCCACCACATCACCTCCCACACTGTTAGGACTTGACCTAAGGTTTTCATTCTTAGGCATGTCCTCGAAGGGGTGGTGAGGATGGGACAAAAGGATAGGATCTTACACATTTAAAAAATCCAAAGTTCATTAGCTAACGTTACATGAAGCAATGATTCCATGATAGTAATGGTCCTATAAAATAACTGACAGACCAAATTATCTGTAACCTCTCCATCCCAAACAATCTTGGAGAGTAATATGTGAAAGAGGAAAGAATATACCCAAACTGACTTACACACATAAGATATGTACATAAACCATCCTTCAAAAGAGTAAATGTGCACGCTGATTTCTGTGACTAGCCAAAGCTGCTGACACATAGGCTACCTGTCCAAATTATACACAACTGGCAACTATAAACACTGCAATCCTGAGTGGGAAACACCGACAACCCCAAATGCCATTTGGGCCTCATAATATCAAGTTTAGATGAAGAAAATAATTATCACTACACCAAGAGAACAAGATATGATTATAATTCTTGAAACAACAATTATCACAGGCACAGAAATGCAGCCTTTGTGAATAAAGGATGATAAATCAGGACAAAGACAAAGCAAAAAAGGAAACTCTACCTGGGAGTTCAAGTTCGCTCCAGGAAGCCCTAGAGCAGCAAGGGCAGGGTCCAGAGCAGGGGCCCCCAAAGCAGCCAGAGGAACAGCACCAATCTGTGCAGGAGAAAAGAAAGGTGTCTAGAGACTTCCAACACACACAAGCAAACACACAGACAACTCTTGGCACCACAAGCACGTCAGCAAGTCAGTTACACTGAGGTGAACAACTGGGTACATATGTTTACCCGAACACTCTCCAATTCATTACTGGATGATATCTGCACCCACTGTTAAAATTAAAAAAATAAAACTGAGATTACGCAGCAGAAAACAAGAATAAATTCTAATCAGGAGTCACTTCATTTCTCTAAATACACATGGTTTACATCAAATTATCAAGAGGCTGACACGCAAGCTGATTTTTCCATAAGCTGCTTACATTCTCTTGACCTCAGTCCTCAGTGCACTTCTCAGGACCCTAGTCAGCTCTGAAATTGCAGAATTCTGGCAGATCAAGTGTTTTGTCATTTTTATCAAGGATTTTCTTGGATCTTCTCCCAACTTAAAGAGCCCTACCAAGAATCCTTAGTGTTAACTACCAAACATTTCCTTTGGAAGAAGAAAACAAAAAAACACCCCAAATCCCAGGACCTACCAACAGGTCAAAATGCTTGGACCAGTAATAGATTGGTGTGTCCTGTGTTCTCTCCCTGCAACCGAAGTAAATATAACTCTCTACCTGCTAATTTGTAGAAGAGCAGCTGTAACAGTTTTTGTTTTTTATTTGGTTTTACAGGCTGGAAACATGATTTCTGGCAAAAATATTGAGAAAAAACAATATACAACAAAAATTTCTGGTGATTGCTATATGCTTAAAATATACAACTTATTTTTTATTAGGATACTTCAATAGCACTGTTGTTTTCTGAGGTTTGCTACAGCATAACCCAAAGATTCTAAAATAAAATTCTGATGCCTTTTGTCATTCATTCAGCTCCATCTTCCCCAAGAAAATCACTGGCTAAAAACATCTGACAGACAACAAGGTATTACAGAGAGCTTGCCTCAAGGCCTAAAGATCCGGGTTCAAGTCCTGCTTCTGACACACACACGGCTGGGGAACATAGGTCACAGACATAACAAGTAACTTTCTTCACATTGGTGGAGCACAGCCCTACCATAGTGGCCAGTGATCGCCATTGGCCAAGAGCCCAGGAACAGAAGCACTACCCACTGGAAAGGATACAAATGATGTGATGATGGCCAACCTCAAGCGCTGGAGGGCGGCAGGTCACACTGGAGCAGCAATGGAGGGCATTTTCTCACCTTGAATTCCCTACACTAGTGAAACTACAAGTCCGGTCATAATAAATAACTATACATATGTCCTTAGTCCCCCTGCCTCTCAGACAGAGGCATTTTGTTACGTTTTCTGGGACTTAAAAACAACTTTCTGTGTTACTATAATGACTTTTATCTTTATCAGTTTAGTTTTATTCATCAACAGTCCCAGTCCTCCCCATTGCCCCTAAACAGCCCTGTCTTTCTTTAGCTTTGCAGCTCTCAGAAGTCCAGTGGCTTTTAGTGATCCTTATATTTACACTGTTATAATTACAATTATCTTCTGAGTTATTTCTTTAAAAAAAAAAAATCAAGTCAAATTCAATTTTATTTTTTCCATCAACCCAAATTTGCCTTCCTCTATCCCTCCCACACCTCCACTGAAAAAGAAACAACTCCTTGTAACAAATAAGCAAAGAAAACAACTTCTCACATTGGTGGTGTTGTATCAATCTTACACCACGTCCCTATCACCTCCTCATCTGCAGCTGTATATTGTTTATTTCACACTACACTTAGTCCATATAAACCATGGCATGTTTTTTTCTGAATTCCTTTTTGATTTCCTTCTGCCCAACAACATTCCATTCATTGCCTTTCTTTCCAATTTCTTCATTGGTGCCCCCATTCAATGCAAATTCACTTTGCTTCAATTGAATGGGCCCATAAAAGGTACAGAGCTCATTTTTCCCTGACTTCCTTGAGGTCTAGCGTGGGATCACTAGGTCAACCAGAAATACATGCAAATGTCAAATCACTTCTTGATTTCAGGTTCCCTGCACTGAAATTTTTGTCATTTCTGAAACACCAAATGGTATGAAGTCAAAATCTTAGTTGCTTTACTAAGTACTTCTCTTACTGATTTGTAGAATTTTCTCATATGATTGCTGATAGTTTGAATTCTTTAAAGAATGGAATGGTTCTGGTTTGTGCTGATTAGCTTTATATTTTACAGAGGTAATGGAACTGTAATTTCATTGGTTTAGGGAACTTCCAGGTGAAGAAACTTCTCTACATCAGCACATTCTCTGAAAAGTAAAAAGGGCTTAGAGAGAGCTGCCTGGGGCAGGCATACAGTTCAAGTAACTGGTTCAAGTCAGTTTGCATCAGAGGAGGTAACCAAATCTTCATGGCTCTGCAGTCCACTCTAATTTCGTATTTGAGGGAAATGTTCTCTTTTATTTTAGATTTATAAAAACTCTAATTTTAGGTAGTAAAAATTGTCTTATTTGAGCGTTTTTTAATCTTTCTTTCCTTTGTTAAGAATTCTATGACTAATCAACAAACAGTTGTGTGAAAGGTACCTCAATTTTCTCTTCTCAATTTTTCATGTGACCTTATAAATTAAGGTCACATGCCCACTGTGAACCTGTTATGCCACAGGGGTTAAGAAGGTGGCTGACACCCAATTTCTGCCACTCTGCTTTCCAGTTTTCCCAACCGTCTTTGTCTCCACTCCTCCCCCCAATAAAGATCTCCTTCAGTTCTTGGGCTTAGCAAACATCAGTTTGTTTCTTGCTTATCCACTCTGTACCATCACTGTACATTTTTAAAAACCAGGATCAAATTGTTGTAACACCTGTTGTTTCAAAATCTAGCTTAAAATGCTACGATGCCAACATCTTTCAATTATTTGCTTTCCCATTTCCCTTGAGATTCTAGACCATTCATCTTTCAAACGGATTTTATCTAGTTCTAAAGAACTTCTTGGAGAACCATCCCAAACCCCTAAATTAATAAACAAATTTGGATAGTTTTGTGAACGCTATCACAATGAGTAATCAATCTTTCCAGTTACCAAAGTCTCTTTTCCCTGTAAAGTGTTTCAGAGTTGCAGTTATATAAACCATGCTTATGTCCTGGTAGGTTAATTTTAATAAAGTTCAAGCACTCTATAATTATCTGGAATGATTTCTTATCATTTCTTAATTTTTGTTAATCCTAGACATAGAAATGCTGGTGATTTTCCTGGACAAATTATATTCTATTAACCTTACCCAAGTTTTCAAACTTAGTTTAGCTGATCCTCCGGGCTCATCTAGGTACTCTCAGCCGTAAATGGATAATTTTGACTTCTTGCAACTTATAATGCACATATATATTTTTCGTTTTCTTTGAACTATGTCAAACATAGAGGTTTGAGAAAAAGAAAAAAATTATGACTTTTTAAACAGGTATACAGATTTTCTTTTAAGTCTGAAGCACAGCACCAACATTATCGTATTGTGCAGTGCAGTTAAGAACCTCTAGAGCCATTAGGCTTATGAATTATGGACCACGGGATCACAACTCATTATTGTTAAGTTCAATCAAATTATTACTATAATCAATTATGGTCAGGAACAGTTATAACTATTAATTCATGAGACCTGGCAGTAGTCACTTTTGTAGCAATAAGTATGGCCACATGTTTACATGTGCTAGCAAATTTGAGTGAGTGCCTTGTTTTTCAGGGGTGGGAGGCTGCAAAAATAATCTTTAGTATGTTAGACACCTGAAATTTTGTTTTTGCCAAGTTTTATGCAGTGTAACTGTATTTGAAAATAATTAAGCACATACCACGTAGAAAGCACTGTACTTTGTTAGCTAAGCTGTGAAAGTAAACGCCTGTCTCCTAACTCTCGGTACTTGTGCTGCCGTGAGGCCATGTCTTAAAAACACTTCACCAGTTCTATTCACATTTCTCCATTCTTTCTCATTTTCTCAGAATTGACGAGGAGCAGTACCTGGGTAAGGGGGTTGGGGGTTGGCAGAAGTCCACCACCAGGCAGAAGACCTGCCACTGCATTAGCTGGTGCCAACAGAGACAGAGCCTTAGTCTCATCAGGAATAACTCCTGCAGAGAGATAGCCATGCATTAGAATACATTCTTGTTCAAGACAGAAAACACACAAAAACACCCAGAAAATGTCTCCCTGATACACCACCTGAGTTTGTTGAAAGTACTTATGTTGGCTAAAATATAAAGCTTGAATTCTATTAATATTTATCACTAATTTTATGTCAGAATGAAACTTCAATGTGTGAAATTTTGACTTCCTTTTTCTCTACAAATGGTTAAGTTTCTAGAGTAAAAAAAATAGCACAATACACACTACTTTTTTGTTAACACTGCCAAGATGTCATCACCTGTACTCGATTTTTAAGTCATGAACCAAAGGTAAGCAAGCACAGTCGGCTCTCCAGGGTGTGCTCTCAACTTTCAAAAGCTGTTTTATGAACACGACTCGTGTCGGCTGCTTCACTATAAAGCACACAGAAAAATCAAGATACACAAGACAAAAAAGGTTGATTTAGGGGTTAATAATATGGCACAGTTCACTATGATCTTTTTTACACCTACCATACAAATTTCGTAAAAATTAAAGAGAAGAAAGGTATGTAAGGAAATTTTCTGTTGAATCAAGCGTAGGGCTTTTGCTGACTCAAAGTGAAACTGAATGGCTCTGCAGATCTTTGAATATTCACTGGGTGCGTGAAGGGTATAGACTTTGGCACATTCCTTACCTGCGTAGTGAAATGCTTTATGTTCCGATACGTGCCATGCTAACTGTACCAAAAAATGCTGCTACATATTGCCAGTTAAAAAGCAAACTTTGGCCCAAACTCTTGAAGCCACAAAAGACAAGTATGTCCATTTTAAATGCCTAGTCTATGTATTCAGCATAAATATTAATAAGGGTCCTACGATAAGACAATACTCATGTAGACAATTTTAATCCTATCCAACAGCAAAAGCCCTATACAGATAGATGGATTAATCTGTTAATGTGCCCAAGCCCCCAAAATGAGAGTTCAATAATACAATTTAACTACATATTTGCAAATACCAGTAGTATTTCTGTAATACATATTAAGAAACTGCATCTCATCATAAAACATACAATATGTACAGGGCACTTAAGAGAAACTGGATAAGCTGCAGAAGAAAACTGTTGGGTGGTATTTTCAGCAGGGCCTGGTATATAGTTCAGGCTGAACCAGGGAAAAGAACTGTAAAACACAACAACAAAAAAGAAAAACCACTGTTAAATAAAGGTAATGGTTCCTTCCACCTATACTGAGAGTGCCGATAATATAAACAAATGTACAATACACAGCACTGTTATCTTGTTTGCGTCAGAGCTGTCATCAATTTAGATACCAAGAGTTATGGAGGGAGAGGGGGGAGAAGATCATTTGGATAGTGGGCACTAATTAATGCATCAATATATTAACATACCTACAGAGATTAAGGGATAATTTTGCATGCAAAATTATGTCTCAGAAAGAGGATATATAAAATATCAACATCTTTATCTCAAATTAGTGCAATTGCAACATTTCTGGCAATCTAAAGAGAAATCCTCTTGAACTTATTGTGAGACACCTAATAGAAGATCTGCATCCATTAAAAAAAAATCATGCATCCGATCCTCTGATTTAAAAAAAAAACTATTTAAAAATAAAACTACAATTTGAAAATAGCAATGAGGCCCCTCACCAGTTAATTTTCATGCGTCAAGAGTTTTTTTTTTACTGCTGCTTTGATAGAACCATGAAATACTGCATGAATGTGTAGAAATGAAAGAAAAAGAAACAGACAAAAGAAACAAACATTAACCAAGGAACCTAAATAATCCCCCAATCCATTAATATTAAGAGTTCCTTCCAAATCTAACTATATCACAATGTTTTCAGTTTCAGGTTATGCCTTCCCATAGACTCTGCGCGTACAATTCTGACACACTGAGCAAGAGCCAACACCAAAGGGTAAGAGCTAAAAATGGAGTGGAACTGTGAGAGGGGGAAGCAGAATGTGTGCAGTGAGACACCTGGTGCCAGGCAACATTAACACCGCACATCATAAGAGAAATACACCAAGAATAGGTTTTTGAAATGAAAATCATCCATAATTCAATAGATTAAAAAAACTCACTCTCAAAAACTCCTCTAAAAAAGTGACAATGTTCCCTTTTAAACCGTATATGAAAAGCTGCTGTTTCATGGTATGCTGGAAAAACTTGATAGAAGGCTTATCCAACAAAGGACTCCTTTCTCTAGAAAAGCCTCCCTAAAAGGTCCTTACAAATTCTTTTCTGGGCATCTGCACCAAGACCCATCAATCAGGCTCACGATCTGGATTTCTTTGGGTGCCAGGTTTCTTCTCCAACAGGCACAATGACAAAAAGGAAGTGACTCAACCAACACACACTACCCCAGGGAAGATTGTTCATAGCCAGGCTCTTACTCTTTAGTACTGAGACGGATATACTGTTACAGAGCATGCCTTCGCCAGGAGCAGAAGATCAAAGTGATTTCTTGAGAAAAACAAAATCAATCTCTCCAAGTGCTCTGGACTAGAGATCTTGAAATCCAATTATCGGGCATGGTGCAAATTTTCAGGTTGATACTGAGAGTTGTAAGTTATTTTCCTTTTAGAAAAGCCAGTATCAAGAAACTAGTTGCCCTGACCAGTTCATGAAAGAAAAAATGGCAGATTTAAAATGCCTGGCCAATAAATGCAGTAATTATACATATTTACCTAAATTCCAGTAATTCTCCTATATTTCACTGATTTTTCTTAACCACGTGCTACATTTATAGAGAAATAAATCAAGTAAAGGTACATTTATACTAAAGTCTGCCTCAAGTTTCATAAAGTGGCTGTAAAAGTGCTGTCTTGTCCCATTGTTAAGATCCACCCACCCCACTTTTGTCCTGTCCAATTACTTTAACAGCCTAAAATGTAAAAAGAGAGAAAATGTGGTTAACATTTGGTGACACCAGGAAAACACCTGGGGGGCTTGAGCGGGGCTTGCTGGCCTTTAGTTATTGTCTAGAATCCCCTGTAGCGGCAGAGGACCCACTGTTTTTCAGTCATCTGGAAGGGCTTTGCATTTGCCTTCTCCACTACAAAAATCACACACACAAATAACAGAGAGAAGAGTTTATTATTTAGTGAAATTCTATAAAGTATAGCAAGGCTGAACAAGAAAACTTGGAATAAAATAAAATGCCCAGTGCCCCTCTGGCACCTAACCTAAAGGAATTTTTGGCTTTTCACACAAACCACAATCATTCAACCCTTGGTATACTGGAATCTACAATTTGGTAAATTTAATTGGAAATATCAGTGAAAGGAAATAATGACCACTACTGTTCTCATTTGTTTTAAAAGTAGAATTCCAAGTCATGCATTTTTTAAAGGCATCTATATGGAGGTGCATATATCAGACTGCTGATTTTTAAGGGCCTTTTTTAAGGGTGGGGGAAGAGGGGTTAAACTCAACACCAATTAAGATAATTGCTTACTAAATGTCTTTTAGGAATTGGAGTTAAGGACAGTTATTTTATTTTCACTAATAAAAAAGAGCTAAACTGGAAAAATTGGAACCGACTCTGATTTCGAAAATTAAGAGTGACTAAAAATTGGCCATAATATCAGTAAAAACTATGGACCACAGTATACCAAGGGTCTCAAAATGTTAATTGCTTAGATTTTTAACATGCTACTATTACTCACTCTACAAAACTAGACTGAGGTAGACGGTCATCAAGAGGATGGCCACATAGGCAGTGAAACAAAGCACAAACCTTCTGCATAGGGAACGACTATCAAAGCTCTGTCAACGAACACAGTGTTTGTCAGATGCTGTGCCACAACTGCTGAGTCTGGATCATGGAACTTTACAAAACAGACACGTGAGGATACTGGCAAAGGCGAGTCACTAAAGAAAAAAAGAGACAACGGGAGAAAAAAGATTAGTTACCACAGTACTACATTATTACAAAAAAGAAAAATCACAATTGGGGGCCAGAAGTCAAAGGTTTCCAAATACTATTTGTAATCTAGAACACTGAATTTATATAGCATTTCCAAAAGAAAAGCATGATTCTACTTTTACAATTTAACAACGCTAAAAGTCAGTAAATCTTTCAAAATTTACTATGTACTCATTGCAATTTTGGCTGTCTAACAAGTGTTAATAACCAATATAAGGTAGATGCATCAACAAGCTTCCAGTGAAACTGCCCAATTGTCAATGCACCAGATCACGCCCCACATGGTTGGGACAGTTCTGCTCCAGGCAGTACATGAACATTCCGAGAAAACTGGATGCCTCATAGTCAGTACATCCTCTGGGTTTCACATACCTACCCCTTTCTTCTGCATAAACTCTTGACCACAATGATAAAAGAAATTTATAATCAAATACAAACTTCACAGCAAACATCACAGGTTTTTGGAGATGGAGAAAAAGTAAAAAAGCTTTGCTTATCAATCTGATCGTGCTAAGCTTCAGAGAGAAGAGGGGTTTCTTTTGCTCTAGCAAGCTTCACATTTAGAGAGGGTACTCACCAGCCTTAAGCATAGTGTAAGTTGAATAATTTAGATATTTTGGTTTATGACTTATTGAATATATACAGTAAAAGGGGACAATACAGAATGTCTAATAGCTGAAGATCTTGATTTTCCCATTCTAAGGTTTAGAATTTCTTTAAAATTATTATGTACTATGCTTGCAAATAATTCAGTATCAACTACTATATAAATGTTGCCTCGAGGCTGTTGTCTTTTGATTCTAAGTCTATCTAAATGCAATACAAGAGTCTTAACATATTTATAAAAATATGGGTCAATAGATTGGGTAGTGGTGGTGTGAATCCTTTTTTTTGGTGGACAGTGGAATATAGAAGGGAAAGATGCTAATGAGCGGTCGATAAATCTCTTCAAAGGTTGTAAACAGTCAAAGCACCCACTGGGTAGGAGCAGGGACTGGACTTGAGACTGACTGGTATAGAGAACTCCCAGGGAAGGAAACTGCCTCTACTGTTGCTTTGGGGGCAGGAAGAGGTTACTTGCCCAGAGTTACATAGTAACTAAGCATTAGTGGTAGGACTGGAACCCAGGTTTTCCTGGTTTTGAGGCTAGCCCTCTACTTCTTCAGTAGCAGAAGGCCCTCTGAATTATTTTCATAATGATGTTTAAATGAAACTTGTGACCTACAGCCCTTAAAATAATTCCAAATGCTAACAGTTTTCATCTTAGAATATACTTAGGATTCGATGCTCTCTTCCTAGTGAACAGGACTCTCTTCTTAATAAAGGTCCACAGTACTCTGAAAAGCATCTTTTATGGATAATCTCTGCAGCCAGAAGGCGGGTGGATGTAGGAAGCACTGGATCAGGAGAAGCCCTGGATTCAAATTACCCATGGGAGTAAGTTGAATCATCTTTCTGAGCCTCCGAGGATAACAGATTTGGATCTCCAAGGGATCTTAAGAGATCATGTAGCCCAAACCATTCATTTCAGAGATAAGGAAACATATCAAGAGATATACAGGAAATTGCCCAAAATAACTCAGGTGCTAAACTCAGAGCTGGCATGTGAGCCAAGGTTCTTTGATGTTAAATCTAGTGCTCTTTCCACCATATATAGCATAGTGGTAGGTTCTCCCACCTAAAACTGTAAAATGAATATTCTGAAGTTTTTAAAAATTATCCTTATGCTACCCAAGATAAAAAAATAATAAATATTACTTTACCTAAATCTTCCACGTGTAGCTAATGATTACAAGGAAACAAACCCCTAAGAGCATATTTAGAGACTTAAATTTAAAACTCTTAAGAATCACTATAAAATGGTATCAGCCAATTGTAAACGTAATCTAGTCTGAGATGATCTGAAAATGTGCTGCTGCTAAGGTGACAACAGGCAGCCTGAACTACGTTAAAATATAATTATGAAACATTTAATAAAATAAATAAAAATAGATAATGTTATATTTTAAACTAAATCAATATGTGGCTGCCAGGGACCTTATGTAGGAATTAGGGGCCATGATTCTACTACAGTTTGACATAACTGATCTATGTGGAATAGAAATACAATAGGATGCTCCTACCGTCAAGAATGCACTTACGTTTTATACAAAAAATGTCACTTATCAGACATCAATATGATAGAAAACATGATCACTGGTAAGCAACACACAGGAAAAGGAAATCTGGAGAGCAGCAATTCATCAAGTACTTACTGCTCAAAGCAGGACTCCTGCCATCTGCTGGACAGGAATATTCCCTACAGAAAAGCATGTGCTTGAGCAGAACGGGGTAACAATCTGCATGCTTGCCTATTTAAAACATCCAATTTCCTTTGCTCTGATTTCAAGCTAGTTTGTTTTATCCCAGATTTGTAGTATTTTCAACTCATAGTCCCTATTCTAGAGCAGTAAAAGGGGTGATAATGTCCAGGGTTGTAACAGATAATTCTGAAGTCCATTATCAACCTTGTCCCAAAAACTGAGGGTCCTTCCCTTTCACCTCAGCTTTTGTGACTATATTACCATTAAGAGTTTAACAGGTAAAGGAAGCCACTTTGAGTTTGGGAGAAGTTCAGTACTTCTCTCTCAAAAATACAACCTAAATTACTTGCTTTTTGGCTGAATGCTGGTACTCCAATTGAAGCTGTAAAAGAACCGGACACCATGCCATCAAATGACTAAATGAACTACAAGTACTTAGCTTGGGGAACAGAGGAAAACAAAACATGCGTCTCAAAGGGAGGGAGCAAGATAAGGGGAGAGAGATTTATGCTTTGACAGTCAAGAGTTGTACTGTGAGTATTTTAAGGATTATCTAGAGGAACAGGGATTTTTTCTTTTCAACTGGCACCAGAGTGTCAGAACTAAGACAACTGATTACTTGCAAAGAATGCAGGAGTTGGGAACCAGAAGAGTTGAGTTCAACAAATTCTGTATCTGGCCCTTTTACTATCATTATGACCATGGACAAGTCACTTGACCTCTGAGTCTCAGTTACTCCATTTGTAAAATGAAGTAAAACACCTTATACACCACACCTACACTTCCAAAGTTTTTGTAAGGCCCAAATCAAATCTCTGTAAAGAGCTTTGCAAAACTTAAAGTGCTATATGTTAATTTATATTGTTACCGGAAAGATCTCCACTCATTCACCCAATTAGTCCTCCATCTAGAACTTGAGGTACTGTCATTTGCAGTGGGATTAAGGATAAAAATAACAAGGTTTCAGATCCAAAAAATTAAATGTAGAGTCAAATCATCATGCTTGATATTGTCACAGGAATTTTTTTTTAATTAGGAAGAACTCTCTCACTACCTCAACTGAGCCACATCACCTAATGACAACTGAAAACAAAGGAATAACAACTGGGAGAGGGGGAAAAGAAAGAACTGAAAATTATCTGGTAGTCGAGAGGAATCAGAATTTGTTTTCAGAGTAAAAAAGAATCATTTAACAGACATTTCCTTAGTGTTCATCATGGACAAAGCACTAGGCTTTTTTCTCTTACATACTTTGGAATTTCCAACAAGTTCCATGTTGATATATATACACTGTGATTTGATTTCTCAGCTGCACAATTCTCTAGTATAACATCCCAACGGAACAAAAGGTGCAACATGGTGTGAACAGCAACAACAAACCCATAGCTTTTTAGAAAAGCTGCGTCCATCAAGGCAGAGCATCACTCTTCAGGGATGTTATCAAAAATGATAAGACCAGCTGTTCTCTTCTTCTGGTGTTTTCACTCGGATTACGACTTGTGCTTTTGTTTCATCGTCAATCATACCAAGTGCATTACATTTTAATTATCTCCAGAAAGTGGCCTCAACCCCTCAAGGAATGTCATTTTCTGTTTAAAGGCTACAATCAATGCTGATTATCAGCAGAATGCCCATTTTTCCAAACAAAGTCTCTCTGAAGCAATAAGCTAAACATTTTTCACCGTTCAGATCAGTAATTACCTCATCAAATAAAGGGAAGATCAACCCCTAAAGTGGCTTGTTCTTCTAACTCATCTAGTCCACAGGTTCTCCAAGGGGGCTGGGATCAGGCCCCAGATACCTGGGGGTCTCCAGGCTGGAACTATTTGTATAATGATACTAAGTCCTGATTTCCCCTATCCACTTCTGTTATCGCTTTAGTGCACAGTGGAGTGTCCCAGAGGCCGTGTGAATTGTGAACAAAAGCTTCAGTTGCAGCATGCAGACAGGGTTGATATCTTGTCTACAGAGTTGTACTTGGGCCTTACAAATGGACAAATCGGGCTGGACTTTTCTGTTTTGCTTTTATTCATCTATTATTAGCCCCAACTAATCATTTCCAGCGAAGAACTATTAAAAGTATCGAATAACTTTTCTGAACCCCCTGGTTAATCCGGGGACAATTACGTTGCTATTTGCACCAATGGTGTCAAAGCAATGGTGAATGAAACTGCTGATGCCTTAGATGGAATCCAGGCGAGGGCACCAAACTATACCAGTCGTCACTGTGTTCTTCACAGACACAAGCTCCCAGTAAAAACAACAACCCAACAGTTTCATTTCAGCCCTTCAGAAAACAATAAAATTAAGTTTATTAAATCTTAACACTCCCTCCCCCCGACTCCCGTTCACATGTTCCTAATGCTCTGTGCGACAGAATGGCAAGTCCTCATGGAGCACAGCCTGGAGGAGAAGTTGTGGGTTTAGGAATGAAAAGATGGCTATTCCAACTTGGGTAGGATGTAGGATGCTTGGCATACATTATAAAAAATTAATGATGTGAGCACTGACTGGCACTTTAAGGAAAGAAAACTGACTTTTTTTTTGTTGCCAATGATAACATTGAAGCTTTCAAGAGAAAACTATAATTTTGGAATATTTGTATTCGACACCAGTTTGACAGCTTCCCAATACTTAAGGACTTTTCTGATGAGATTGGTGGTGATAGTAACGAATGCACACTTTCAATGTTGTATAATGAAACGTGTTCACATATGGAAGATAGACATGTACCAATATTTTCCAGATGAGTGATGTGCAACATATTACAAAATCATTCATGGTGTAAAAGAAGCATTCAAAGCACAGGATATGCTGACAGATTAAAAAAAATTCATGATATGGTTTTAGATCCTACATAGCAACTAACCTTTAAGAAACTATGAGTAGTTGGGTTTTAGCGTAGTAACAAAAGAATAATATCCATTATCTGAAAAAGTTATTAAAATACTCCTTCCCATTCCAACTACTTATTTGGATGAGGCTGGATTTTCTTTATATACTTCAACCAAAACAAAGTATTGCAACAGACTGAATACAGAAACAAACAGAAGAATCTAAGCTGTCTTCTATGAAAGCCAGACATTAAGACGTGTAAACCATGTAAAAATAAATAAAAGAGCTATTATTTTTTGGGGGGGGTGGGGGGTCCTGGAAAGTATATTTTTTATAAATGTTATTTATATTAACATGGGATGGGTTTATTATTAAAGTAAATTAATACATATTTTAAAATTTTGTGAGTTTAAATTTCTAATGCAGTAAATATTGGTGGTTAAACAAAACCTCTTTGGGAACCTCAATAATTTTTAAACAGTATAAAGGTGTCTTGACAGGAAAAAAAAAAAAAGCTTGAGAACCACTGATTTAGACAACCATGAAATGAGGCTTACAGACTTGCTCTCAAGGTTAAGCAACAAGCAGTAAGTGGCAAAGGTAAGACCAGAACAATGGTCTTTCAGCTCCCAACGTGGCTTTCTTTCCCATCGTACTCTGCTTGTAAGTGCTTATTTCCTATTCCAGTAGCTGCCTAACTCTTCAGTAATTTCTTAATACGTAATTTCTGAATTTCTTAAATTTAAATTTCTTAATAATAGGCTGAGGGGAAATTGCTTAGGATGATAAATGCATTTGTACTTGACGCTAGGGACAAAAATCTCATGATTTTTGACTTCCTATCATATTTTTCTATCTCTGCCATATTATTTTTATCCATCAACACCAAATGCCATCCAAGTAAATAAAGTTACACTCAAACTTAATTTTCCTTCTCTTCCCTTGTGGAAAAAAGTTCAATCTCCTCATTACAGAATGGGAAACTCAGGGCTCTGAAAACTGAAGTGACTTGCCAAAGAGGTATTCAGTATGTGAAGAGAGGGGTCTCTGACAGACCGGACACCAAAGCTAACATCATTCTAAAATGCCGCCACCCCGCCCCCCTTCTTAGCCTTTTCCTATACACTACACTTTCCTGTTACCCGTTAAAAAAAAACCAACTTAAGTAAGGCACACCTACTGTTAAAAGCAATGATCTGCCATTTAGTTTAAAGATAAGAGAACCCAACCATAAATTAAATAGCGTGTTAATGTACCAAACATGGGCTCCTTAAAATTAGTTATATTAGGAGAAGGAAAAAGAGCTGAAATAAAGACATCGCTCCACACAGCTGAGTAACCAGGAAAGAGGCGACTGCGGCGGCAGCACGCGGCTGAAGTGTAAGTTAGTTCAGCAGAAGAAAAAGGCCAGTCTCTCCCCAACACACAGGGCACGTGATCAGCTCCGTGGTCAGCCCCGACGCGGCAGGGGGTGGGCTGTCGCAGGTAAGGAAGCCGCCGCCGCCCCCCCCCCCTCCCGCACCCCCCCCCCCCCCCCGGACACCAGGACCGTGCGAGCTTCCTTCCCCACACGATCTCCGATCGCACTGTCTGCACTGTCTGCCCTCCCCGGGCGTCTCTGGCATTCCTCACGCCGGGTCTGTGCCCAGGGTGGGGGGAGGAGGACACACGGGGCCCGCCCCCCGCCCCTCCCCCCCAACGGCTACTCACTCGGGCGGGAAGAGGCGCAGCTCGTCGATCTTGCCCAGGAAGCCGAAGAGAGTCCGCATCTGCTCCGAGCTGGCGCTCGGGGACACGTTCGTCACCTGGATGACCTCGGTGCCGCCGCCGCTGCCGCCCCCGGGCACGCCGCTGCCGCCGCCCGGGCCTCCGCCGCCGCTCGGACCCGGGCCCGGGCCCGCGGCGCTGGGGACGACGGTGGGCGTGCTCATGGCGCTCTCGGGCCTCGCTCGCTCCTGCTTTAACACATCAAACACACAACAAACAGTGAGAGGAGGGAGGGGAGGGGGAGGGGAGCCGGGGCCGCCGCCGCCGCCGCCGCCGCCGCGCCCGGGGAGGAGGGGGAAGAGAAAGAGAAGGAAGAGGAAGAGGAAGAGGAGGAAGGGGAGGAGGAGAGCGAGCGAGGGGCGGGCGGGCCCGAAAGCGGACGCTGAGAGCGGGGCCCGGCCGCCGACCGCGCGCAGGCCCAGGGACGCATAGAACAAACGGCCGCCCCCTTCGCTCGGGCTGGGCCTCGGCGTCCCACGAGGCCCCGCGCCGGCGCATGCGCGCCAAGCGCGCGCCGCGTCACCAGGACGGGCGGTGTCGTCATCCCGTAACGTCATTGGGGAAAGGGCCCAGGCCTCCCCGGGCCGCGCTTCTCCAACCCAACAGGGCTCCCCACTGCTCGCAGCGCCAGGCCGGCAGGCAGGAAGCCTTGCCTACCTCGGTTTCCCCATCGGTCAGACCGGGGTGACAGAGACCCTGGCTGGGAGACTCCCCTTTCCCTCCCATCACCTCTAGCATCGAGCCGGCCCAAGATTCCACACTCCCCTCCCCCCACTAGACTGTAAGCTCCCGGAGGGCAGGGGCCGCCGCCCCGGCCGGGCCTGGCCTCGCAGACATCTAGCAAGCAGGGGGATGTCCCGGGTTCCAGTCCTGCCCCGGACACCAGCTGTGTCCGCACGGCCAAGGACCTGCCCTCGGGTCCTTCCCCGCTCTGAGATGTAGGGACTGGGTGGTCGCCCCCAGCATCGAGGCCAGGTTCTCGGGCCCTTGGTGGGGTGCTGGTCAGCACGGACAGCTCAATGCTGCTTCGACCGGTGGATCAGAGGGGGAGGAGGGGGCTCCCTCTTCTCCCCGCCACCCCTCTCCCAACACTGTACTTCCATGGCATCTTTCCTTTTCGCTGAACACATTCTTTTTTTAATTTTTTTTATTTTACCTACTAGAGCTTTTTGTTAAATTACCAAAGCCTGAAATTTATCAGCTGGGCTCCGAAGTTGTTCCTTTAGATTGAATACCTTTAAGGACAGCCCCACAAAAAGCCGCCTTTCTGTAAGGATCCCTGCCAGCTGGGCAGCATCTTGGCTTGGAAAGCCACAGGTTAACAATACCTGTGTTCTACTACTTCTGTGTTTTCTTTATCTGATTACACATTTCCCGATTTATTTTAATCTAGTTTGGGCCAATTAGGGAATCCATTTGACATCTCTGCCTTAAGTAACCTCAATATTTAAATTTAAACAGCTGAATCTACTTTATAATCACCTATTTTTAACCTTTCAAAAATTTGTTTTTAAAATAACCAAGTAGCTTGTAAAACTACTTAATGATCAAACAACATCAGGGGCATACAAATATTCTCTGGGATTACTGAACCCGAAACTCCACTTAACAACAATTTAAGTATCTGGAGAGGGGGAAATATTTTGGTTTTGTCTTTGTATCTCTACCTAGAATTTAGCACAATGCCAGGTGAATGATAAATTCAACAACAACTTCATTAAATTTTGACAGGTATCTGAAAATACTAAAAATGCCAGCATTTGGACATTATAAAAACAAAAAGGCCAAACTCACCTGCTAATACACAGTTTTCATCCAATGAAATTAATATGCAGTTCCTATCAGGTACAGGTTTTTTTTTGAAGAATGCTGTGCCTTTATATGGGTGCTCTACAAACGAAAGATACAAACTATTCAGGCACAGAATAGGACAATCATGGATTTCAGCTTACCCACATTGGAGATGATTGTCCAA